ATAAAGAATATCTCTTTGGTTTTGAGACTTTAGTCTTTGCAACTTCAGGGATCTTATCTATTCACAATCAGCTTGTAACACTCCAAGAGAAAGGAAAACTTGAAATCGCATCATATGACCCCTTTAAAATATAATAACATTTTGTATGATCACTTTTTGTTCCATATATTTTAATAAGTACAGGTCAGAATAAGTATATTGTTTCTTTTTTACATAAATATATCTGTTACAGTCAGTGTAGGGCTGGACGATATGACCAAAATTTCACAATCTGATATGATATGATATAATTCTGATATTGATATGAACAATATTTATAAAACTGCCAAGAACGCCCACAATGGATGTCTGTACCTACAAACTTATGAAAAATGAATTGGCCAAGTCTAGGAAACCTCCTCCTGTAAAACTATATAATATTTTAGAAATAAAAGCGGTAGGCTGATTATTCATACAGTTTGAAACAAAAGTGCTTCAGCCAGGATAAAGAATAGGAAAAGTGTTCAGAGTTGCAGGAGAAAACAGAAAAAAGAGTGAGCAACAACAAAAACATGTTGCTGGAGACAGGCTTATTGAAAATGCAAATTCATTCTCTGTTTCCCTGGTAACGGCTGCACACAAATCAGTGCTCCGCTCATAAACGCTACTTTATCAGATCAAATGAAATTGCCATCGATTGCCACTTTTCTGAATATTTCGGAAAATTATTGAATTATTGTCCAGCCCTAGGTCAATGAGGATGGGACATTATTTCAGCCATATTTTCACAAGAGGTTTTTGAAACATTAAAGTAGACACTTTACTTGCATTTAATGTATGTATATAAAATCACTTTTCTAAATTTCATTTGATGCAGAGACCAAAATGGGACTTCTTGTCTTTGATCTATATATATGGACACTTTTTGTAAGTGTTAGGGAACGTGATTAGGTTAGAAATCATAATATTTTGTTTTTATTATTATCATATATTTTAATAGGGGCTCTTCAAAGATGGAGGATGCTTGTGACTTGTATGGAAGGGCAGCAAACATGTTCAAGATGGCCAAGAACTGGAGTGGTAAAGACATACACTCAGCTTAAATCAATATACAAATCTACTTGTTATTTTGTCCTCTTATTTTAAATGTGTGAATGGAACAAAAGTGCACTTAATTTCTAAATGAGAAAGATTTTTTAGTTGATGCTTGCTGGCTATGCATGTCCGTTGCACATTATATTTTTATTGTAATATTTATCGTAATATTTGCATTTTGTTGTATGTGTTTGTTAGCTTCAGGAAACGCTTTCTCCCAGGCGGCTCTCCTATACCTGCAGATGCAGAGTAAACATGACGCAGCCACAAACTTCGTTGATGCTGGCAATGCCTTTAAAAAATCAGACCCTCAAGGTATTCATCCGAATTTCACATTATATAATTTTATATACATATATACATATATTATACTTATAATATTACAAAAGATTTCTATTTCAAATAAATGCTGTTCTTTTGAATTTTCTTCCTGAAAAAAATATCATGATTTGGTCACTCTTTTGAAAATGTGTTGTAAATTAGGTGGAAAATTTTCTCCTGTGCATATAAATACAAATAATCCACACAGTTATTAGTAAATGAGACCCATTGCTTTTTTATGCACCTAATATTTGTTTCAATAGTCTAAAAAAAAAAGTTACTTTTACTTTGGTGTTAAAAATGATCTAACTGTTTATATGCAGTTCATTGAAAATGGTTATGGTTTAGTTGTCTGTTATTATCTCCACAGAGGCCATAAACTGCTTGAACAGGGCCATTGAGATCTATACAGACATGGTAAGAGTCATTCTTACATCTGTAGGTGCTATAGATGGTGTTTTAAATAAAAGTAGAGCTGCTTTTGCGGCACAGAATCATTTCGACACTTTTCATCAGTTTATCTTTTTGTGGTGGAAACCTGTTTTGGAAATAGTTCAGCATACCCAAAGCAATTGTTAAAATTGAAAAATTATTTGATGCACCACTGGAGAGCACTCTAACACAATGCATGTGGTTTAGTGTGCACTAACCAGGGGCTGTATTCACAAAAAAATCTTAAGTCTAAAAGTTGCTCTTAATGCGGAAATTTAGGAGCAACTCATAAAAATAAGGGACGTTTCGCTCCTAACTTTAAGACTTTTAGGATTTTTTTTTTCTTCAAGAGTAATAATTCACAAAGCTGTAAGTAGCTCCTAAACCTAGGACAGCTGAGAAGTCCTCCTAAGGATTTCTGAATCTCAATTTACAATCTACATTGCAACCAAATACATTTATTGGACTATTACAACGACATGAAGGTATCACCTGAATCGTGAAAGCGTTTTCTTAGTTTTAAACTCATTTAGTCTAGTTGACCTTCCTTTGTCTTTTCTTTGATGCTTCTGTATCACCCATCGCTATATGCTTAGAGACTTTTTAAAATATTGTTAAAATACGTCCTCAAATTAGTAGTAATTAGTAAGACAAACTTAATAGAATTTGCTATGGGTATGTAACCCATTCTTGATTCTGTTCTATTTAGCTTACACACACACACACATAGTCCTCAGTCCGTTCACCGTGGGGCCCCTCAAGCACGGGGCCCGGTGCAGCTGCACCAGTTGCACCCCCCCCTAAGGACGGCCCTGGTCTCTTCTTATAAATTCAGAGATGTGGAGTCGGACAGCAGTTTATTACCACACGATAGTGTTTGTCAAAAAACAGTAGGTCATTCGACCAGGAATTTTTTTTACGCAAATGGTGGGAGAAAAACACTGACATTCTGGATTCAGACAGCAATAAAATCACCAGTTAACACCTGTTAATGTTGAAAATACCTAACGTAGCCATAAGAAGCAATTACTGTTCGAATACGGCTATAGAAATTTACAGAGCTATCGCAAAAATGGAAGTTCAAAAACAAAATTCTCAAGATGGTTTTTGTGCTTGTTTCTGTGGAAGTTTCCATGTATGTGATTCAGCTTTAATTGTTCAGGTCGATCATATATTCGTGTGGGATAACAATCAATCTGAATGAGGAAAGCGATAACTTCATAATATTCTTTCGATGGTTAAGTGGATTACCGGGACAGCGCTGCAATGCTTGGATCTCTTTGAAGTGAGCTCTGCATGTCACTGTTGTTCAAATTTAAAATAATTTCCTTGTTTACAAACCTTACTTCATTTCATAGAATGAGTCTGCGGTTTTTTAACGATTGGTCTGCTAATTCGCTTTTAAAGTCATTCCCTTGCTGCCACAACCTTCACTGAAGTTGTTGATCAATTTTATGCTACTAATATTTAAAGTTGACATCATTGCGTACCTTGTGCTTCACTTTATTTTTGCCATTTTGTTTTATTAGTATATTTTTATTTATCTATTGATCTTTTTTAGAATTTGAAAGATAAGATATTGTTTGATAAGTGACATCTCTGATATGAAAACCAAAAAAGTAGTGCTCGAAAAGTCCTGGAATTTTATTTGACCGTATCTGTATGAACCTTGTAACTAGTCACTCCCTGAGCTATGTTGAAAGACATGTTATGTTATGTATGTACAGGGTCCCCACGTTTCTTGTAAGTACATGAAAGTACTTGAATATCAGACACATGGATTCAATGCCTGGAAAGTACTTGAAAACTAATATAGGTCCTTGAAAGTGCTTGAAATAAATTTTGTTTAGTAGAATGGTGCTATTTCAAAAATGTTCCTAAATGCGCTGTCAAAGGCAAAACGTAACCGCGGTAATGATTGGGGTGGAGATGGGGTAGCGTGAGAAAAAATCTTAGCATGCGACCTGATGCGCACATTGCGCAGCCCTGTATGAACCTATAGAGAAGCAGTGCATTTGCGACTGAAAACTACTGCGTGCGACTATGAAAAAATATTTAGGAGCACCCGTGCAAATGACCCAATCAGCATATATGTGTTTGCGCTGAGGGGAGGTTCAAAGGTTTCTATCGTACTTTCGTGTTTTTGCAGCAGTGGAGGGTGACATCTTTTAATGAATAAGAGAGTTTGCAAATGATATTGATTTAATGCAACAGCTCATTAAACAAGAAGTTAATATTAAGTGACTTGCATTGTCTGAACACTATTGCCTGATTTTGCTCTATTTCGTCAACGAAAATAGTTTCAAACAAAGTAACAGCTGAGCCACTGCACATCTCCATTCAAACACAGCGGCGTCTCGTTTATGTATGAATGGGTGTTTTTAAACTAATCTGATTCAATTACCCATTCATAAAGACAGTCACTTGCTTCGCTCCTGAACGAATCAGCCGTTCGAACGAATCAATTGAATGAATGATTCAGTGCTAAAATCAGTGACTTGCCGCTACCTAGTGTCAGTTTTATTTTCATTTTTTATTTAATCTTTTCTGTTATTTAAATCATTTAATATTTCTATATTCAACATTTTATATTTAAAACATTAACCGCAGAGCCTCATTAAACCATCTGAAAATACACCTACAAGCCACTTTTGTGTTCTTCTGTGCCACCTCTGTAGTACAAATTATTTTTTAATACTGATTTCATTTGATTGGTAACTTATTCTTATTCTACGTGTTTTTATTCTGTTGTTTTAACTAAACATTTTTTTTAAAAGCTTATAAATATAATTTTTTGAATTTGACAAAAGATGACATAATTTTAATAAAGTTAGAAAAATGCCATTACAAAGGTAAAAACTAAATTCCCTGTAAATCACTTTAAGGAGTCAAATATCATCTCGTAATGGGAAGGCTAATATTTGATCCAAATGTTTGATTATTGATTCGAAGGTGCTCCTGAAATTTTTGACTGTGCTCTTAATTGTTTTTGGGTTTTTTTATAAAAAGAAAAGTGAGCGTAGAGCCCTGTTTAATCATAAATTGAGAAATTCTTTCAAATTTAAATCTTTTACAAGAATTACAGCAAAAAACAGTTTGATGCAAGAATATATATTATTATCAATATTTGAGAAATGTTATATTCCTTTTTAAATTTAAATGTATATAAAATTACATTTTTAATGTAAATGTTAAGTGTAAGTGATATGTTAAGTACTGTAAGAGGTCTTTCATGACGCTACATGTCTTTCATGTCCTTGAATCTGGCACTCATGAAAGAGTGGGAACCCTATATGTATGTATTTGTTTTTTTTTGTTAGTTTTTTTTGAAAAGGCCAAGTTAGTTCAGGACAGGTAAAATACCATGTGGTGCAGCCCCCAAAAACGTCATTTATGAATTGGTAATTCATGATACTTGTAAAACCTTGAAAAACTGATTATTGATATTTCATTATCATTTTGTATTTCTAAAAGTTTTTTTAAATATGAAAATATTTTGCTTCCAGAAAATGTTTTATCTGCTATTTTGGATGGCTTTCGATGGAGGAAAACAGGCAGTGGTGTTTTTCAGCTAAAACGAACCAGCTGAACTTGTAAAAGAAATTGAAGCTGTTTTTAACCAGGCAATCATATAGCAGTGATTTTTATCTTGGCTATGCATTTAATCATGCCTAGATTGCAATGTAATGCTGCTTGTTTTGTGTGTCTCATCTTGTAGGGTCGATTTACAATCGCAGCGAAACACCATGTCACCATTGCTGAAATTTATGAGACCGAACTGGTTGACATTGACAAGGTCAGATTTCTTTTGTCACATTGATTATTTTCTTTATATCATTTTTATTCCAAATCTGAAGGTAAAATTTATTCAAAGTACTTTATAACCTTTTCCTTAGGCCATAGCTCACTATGAACAGGCAGCAGACTATTATAAAGGCGAGGAGTCCACAAGGTACGATGGTTTTAAAGCTGTTTTTACTGCTAGTTCTCAAGACTTATCAATCCTAAATGAGGATACAGAAATGACCAGTAGAAATGGGGTTACCTATAAAATCAGGTCTTCTCCAGTGAATTAAAATATCAGTACATAATGCATAGCAAGCAGGTTTGCTGAAGGCAAAGACCTTTACTTCCGTCTCACATTTACCGTACCATATTGAGATATACAGCCTTGCAGGCAGCATATGACACATGACCCTATTATTCATCATCACATTCTTTCCGTAATCGTAACCGAGTCATGATCTGGAAATGTTTCTTATCTGTTCATTCTACTCTGAAGCTCAGCCAACAAATGCCTGCTCAAAGTTGCCACCTATGCAGCTCAACTGGAGCAATACCCTAAAGCCATTGAGATCTATGAACAGGTAAACAAAACTATGTCAGTCCGGTTTCAGTACACCTTCCATATGAAGGTCGTACATTTTTAAACAGAAATATTTTGCCTCCATGTGTAGCAAACATTGATTTGGATATGTGAATAAAGGTAGCTGTTAAGAGTGAACATCAGAGCATGTGAGCGAAGCGGAGCGTCTTTTTTAAATTAATTTATTACTATTTATTAATTTTAAGTAATAAGGATTTTAATAAGTAATTACGAAATATAGTAATTCGTTCCACGATTTAGGCCTACTAAAACTAGGGAACGAACGAATTAACGAACGAATGAATTCGTGGCAGCTAAGCCTAAACAAGAGAACAAATACTTAATTCGTGGCCATAAATTAGACTAAACGAAAAAATTAATTCTTAATTCGTGGCCATAATGTAGTCCTAGCATAAAAGAGAACTAGCCTATTCTAAATTCGTTGGCCGTGATTGTCTGCATGTCATGATCGGGGCTCCGTACAACCGAATATAACCTTCACCTACCTGTTTATTCCTTTATTATGGTATGTAACTAGCTCACCTTTTGCAGCACCATGTTTGCGTAGCACATCCTCGTGCTTTCTGGCAATGTGCCGCTTCAGATTCCAATATGAATCTTTACTAACTCTCCCCGCACTCCCTCTCAGTTTCTTCTCCGTGCTCATTCTTAACTTAGATTTTTTACTTTACATTTATGTATAAGGCTTGCAACTACGTTGAAACAATATCTGAACTCCATAACTGCTCTACTATTCTCGATCTCGAACAAGCAAATCACCAAACGGCATTCTGGGTTGAGCGAGCGGCACTGAGCGTTTTGAGCGAGCGGAGCGGAATCTTCAGAAAGGCGCTCTGCGCTCTTAAGGAAATATTACCACTCCGCTCCCCGCTCCGCTCACATGCTCTGGTGAACATACACTTTTTTTGCATATGGAAAGATGCAGATTTTAATCAAGGCAACCTGCTATTTTTTTTATGAATTTCAATAGATGAAAAGGCTGAACTTGTGAAAGAAATAAAAGCTTAAATATAATCTTTACCTATAAGGCATTTTCTCTGTCGGGTCAAATATCAGTCACCATCAGTCAGTGCAGTCGCTTGAACTCCAAACTCAGCCTGAAACAAGAAGTTGCATATAACTTTTTATTTATTTATTTTCACACATGAAAAGATTGTGTTAAGTTGTGTTGTTTGGGTTTCCAGGTTGCAACACATGCAATGGACAGTACTCTGTTGAAATACAGTGCAAAGGACTATTTCTTTAAGGCAGCTCTCTGCCACTTCTGTGTGGACATGCTGAATGCTAAGGTATGACACATGCCACCAGAAACCCATCTTTAAACAAGCTGATGGAAAACAGCAGTGTCGTTTGCAGTTCCCTTTCATATTCTTTGTCCTTGATGCCTCCCTTGTAGCTTGCCGTCCAGAAGTATGAGGAAATGTTTCCAGCCTTTTCAGATTCACGTGAATGCAAATTGGTGAAGGTAAGGCTGGATCTCAGCACAAAATGACCACAGCAACAACAAAAAAAACATAACATTAAATGTGTTCTAAATTTTGAACATTTAATTGCTTATACTGAGGATTTGAACAAACCCCCTAACCCTAAGTTTTTTTTTATGCTCAAACAGCAACATTACAGACTAACTAAAGTTGAAAAAGTGAAAAAGCATAATAGGACCCCTTTAAATAACTAATGTAATAGATTTTTGTTCATTTATTCTTTATTTACTCATAAATTTATTCTTATTTATGAATTTGATAGTTCATTCATTTTTTCATTTTTATTTATTTATTATTTGTTTTTATTTATTTATTTTAAAGTATTCCATACAACTTTATGGCTGATCAAAGGTTTGTATAATCGTGTAAAAAGTATTATTTTTACAGTAGTAATTTTTGATCCAAGTCATTGAGGGTGCTGCATTTTTAGCTTGTAAAAACATGCTATTTTCTGCAATCTTGAGGTGATTCATAAATTGACCGAGCAAACTAGTTTTGTATAATTTGCTCTGAAGGCATGCTTCTAGATTGGGTTTTTTGTAATTTTGAATTCAGTGATATGAAAGTGCAAAGATATTACCTACTGAGAGAGTTTATTCTCATTTGTCTAAAATAATCATGCCAATAAAGTGAAAGAATTGTGAATAAACCTGTCTGTGGAGTGTGTTGGGTAACAGCAAAACACTGTGGTTCTGACCGAAGGATGATGGATGAATTATGTGCTTAAAATGTTTCTTTTTTTCATTTTTTAACAGAAACTTTTAGATGCCTTTGAGGAACAGAACTTGGATGCATATACTGATGCTGTAAGACAAGCACTTGCTTACCCTATCTGTTGCTTATAAAACCTCTTAAACAATTTTCAGGTCACTAGAAGCATAGTTTCACCATAGCTTCCTAGTTTCACTAAAACGAGTTAAGCTATCCACATGACATGCCTATAAGTCATCATGGCTGTCACATCAATTCATAGGCACAATAGCAGGGCTCTTCATCATTTTCACGGTTCTTTCTCTCTGTCTTTCAGGTAAAGGAGTATGACACCATCTCACGACTGGATCAGTGGCTCACCACCATGCTGCTTCGTATCAAGAAATCCTTACAAGATGATGAAAGTGACCTCCGCTAAAATCCTCTTCCTCCCCTCTGCCCCTTTGCCACTTGCTCTGCCTTGTGCCTTTAACACCATGACTGCAGTATGATGGTCGACTATCACCATCTCGCTCTCTTTTACCACCAACTCAACTCTCAGTGCCTTAACGTCCTTGCTTTACCTCTCTCTCTCTCTATGACACCACCACACCTCAGAGAACACTAAAGAAAGGAAGGCTGGTTGTTTAAATGGGATTTGAGAGAGTGTCGCTTGAGAGCTGAAACCAGCTACAGTAATATTATGGGGTGCTGTGCACACCAAGCTTCAGAAATGCCTTGTGCTCGGGCTGACAGGGCACCCATATTACTGAGCTCAAAAAGCCTTTGTTCATTCTGTTCAGTTCTTTAGTAGTGGCATATGTATTTTTATTCTTATTGGATATACCATACCTTGTATCTCTGCCTATTTTTTGCTTGCTGATTCCTGTGTAGACTAATCTTGAAAAAAAATTTTTTTTACATCTGGAGAAGAAAAAGAGTAAAAGAAGGACTGATTCAACCTATACAGTGTGATTTTTATTGACTCCCCAAAAAGGGAGAAACAAGGGCTGGCCTGTTGTCATCTTTCTTGCAATAGGTTAAACTTGTTTTTAATTTATTGGTAATTATATATTACAGTTAGTCTTGCTATGAAATCATTGTTCTCTTAATAAAGCTAACAAAACTGAAGTTAGGCTTTTTCGAAATAAACAACAAAAGTTTATTTCTTGGTTAAATAAAGGACTAAAACCAAACCCTATATTGGTTAGAGCTTTACAAGGCACTGTAATAGAGTTAGTGCCAGATGGAAGAGATGTGTTTTTAGCCGATTCTTGAAGATGGCTAAGGACTGAGCTGCTCGCATTGATTTGGGCAGGTCATTCCACCAGGAGGGAACAGTTAATTTAAAAGTCCGTAAAAGTGATTTTGTGCTTCTTTGAGATGGCACAATAAAGCGATGTTCACCTGCAGAACGCAAGCTTCTAGAGGGCACATAACTCTGAAGTAATGAATTTAGGTAAAGGGGTGCAGAGCCAGTGGTGGTTTTGTATAGGCAAACATCAATGCCTTGAATTTTATGCGAGCAGCTACTGGTAGCCAGTGCAAATTGATAAACAGGTGTGACGTGCGTTCTTTTTGCGATCTGCAGGACCGGGCAGTTTTAGCAATGTGGTCTGAGAAAGTAAGCTGATCATTCATCATAACTCCAAGGTTTCTGGCTGTTTTTGATGGAGTTATGGTTGATGTGCCTAACTGGATGGTGAAATTGTGATGAAACAATGGGTTTGCTGGAACCACAAGCAGTCTTGGCAAGGTTGAGTTGAAGGTGATGGTCCTTCATCCAGCAAGAAATGTCTGTTAGACAAGCTGAGATGCGAGCAGCTATCGTCGGATCATCAGGATGGAATGAGAGTTAGAGTTGAGTGTCATTAGCATAGCAGTGATATGAAAAGCCATGTTTCTGAATGACAGAACCTAATGATGTCATGTAGACAGAGAAGAGAAGTGGTCCAAGAACTGAGCCCTGAGGCACCCCAGTAGCTAGATGATGCGATCTGGACACCTCACCTCTCCAAGTTTCTTTGAAGGACCTATCTGATAGGTAAGACTCAAACCACTGGAGTGCGGTTCCTGAGATGCCCTTTGCCAATAGGGTTGACAGGAGGATCTGGTGGTTAACCGTGTCAAAAGCAGAGGACAGATCAAGCAAAATAAGTATTGAAGATTTGGAATTCGCTCTTGCCAGTCTTAGGGCTTCAACAACTGAGAGCAAGGCAGTCTCGGTTGAATGTCCACTTCCGAAACCAGACTGGTTGCTGTCAATGAGGTTGTAACTTTACAAAGCTAAACTAAGTATTTCATGGTAAATACTTCCTGGTAAAGGAAGATTCGAATTGCAGATATTTTAAATATGTATTTGCATGGTGTTTGTTGATTTGTAACATTTAAAAAAATTCTGAAAATTCAATTCATCTTGGCCAGCACATTTCTGAAAAAGAGATTTTTAGTTGTATAAAGTCTCATAAAATTACCTGAATAAATAAAATACAATAAAATTAAGGCTCAGTCCCACTGTTTGGTGGATTTTGAACTAAACAGATTTGTGTGTATATATATATATATATATATATATATATATATATATAT